CATGTTTGTAATTGATCTACCATTTGTCGTGACAAAGTCATGCATCCAATCATTCGCTGATGATACAAAAATTTCAAAATGTATAACTTCAGAAGATGACTGCATTCTTCTTCAGAGAGATTTGGATCGTGTAGCAAATTACTATGGGCGCAATTTATTAAAATTAAATGTTAATAAAACAAAAATAATAAAAAAAGGTCATATAATATCATCGTGGATCACTGAAATATGAATATAATTACAACGTCGATGGCGTGCAAATTGAAAGAGTTGAAGTAATGAAGGACTTGGGAGTATTGCTTGATGTGAGGATGAATTTCAAATCACACATTGAACATGTTGCTGCAAAGGCAAAATCAAGATTGGCTTGGTTAAAATTCAACAGCAGGGATTTTGTCGACCCATGGACATTAAAACGCCTTTACTTTACATTTATTGTACCGATTATTGAGTATGGATCTGAAATTTGGACTCCACACTACGACAATATGTGCAAAAGAATAGAGTCAATACAAAAGCAATTTTTGATATATGCTCTGAGGAGAATGGCCTGGAATGATTTAAGACTGCCAAAATACGAACACAGACTACTATTTCTGCAAATGATTACTCTTGAGGAGAGACGCAAGATGGCGCAAGTGTCTTTTATTTTCAAAATTATTCACGGAGATTTAAAGTCAACTTATGTTTCAAACAGTATGAAATATTACGATCCAGCACATGATACCAGAGCAACACCACTATTTGATTTACCAATTAGAAGAACTGATTACACAAAATATGAGCCAATAAATTATATGCTAACATCATTCAACGATTATTATGCCAAAAAATTGCAAAACAGTGATAAAAGTTTAATTGATTTAGAAGTAAATTTATCAGCAGTTAAACAAAGAATAGAAAATTATTTAAAGCAAAGCAGATAAATGAAAGATATTTGTTATGGATTGTAGAAATTTTGAGCAGTTGGAAAATTGATTTATGAAATTTATATTATTATTTACATGAAAGGGAAGAAACAATGACTTTTCATATTCTCTCTCAAAAATGCTTGATAAAAATCAAATTGTATTATATTATATTTATTTAATTAAATTATTTTCAATAAACCACCAAGGCGAAGGAACGCTGTTCGGTGCAGTTATTATTATATATTTCAGCGGTATAGACGTATGAAATCACACTAGTCGCTGAGTAATTGAATTATAATATTTATTTTATTACATAATTCGTCACAATATTAATTTTTCTTATCTTTTTTGTTCACATTCACATTGTTGCTTTTATATTTCTAAATAAATAAAAATAAATAAATTGATGATTCATCAACTTCACAGCCATTAGATGACTCAAATGCAACTGAGGTAACAGTGAAGGAGGTGAAAACAAGAGCGGCAATCACAATCATCAAAATGCGTACTAGCTCTCGGCAAAACATCCTTAAAATGTCGTTGGTTTTTGAAACCATCATTCCAATGGCCTCGTCGACGGTCAGTTACCCAATTCTTTCTTTGAAAAGAACGGCTGAATGGATTACTGCGTGTGTGTGCATGATCATTTCTATGTTCCTGTCGATTTTGCTGCTGATTTCGTCGATTTTGTTGTTGATGTTGCTGTATACCTGTTTCTTGTTGTTGTCTTTGCGGGTTTTTATGTTTTTGTTCTTGTTGCTGTTGTTGTTTATTATTTGATGCGTTTGGGTCCGATTGTGGCTGTTGTGATGATGTTTGGTCAGAATTTTCACCGCCTGTGACCTCGTTTTGTTCTTTGTTCGCTTTCTTCTTCTTCTTCTTCTTCTTATTGCGACTTGACCGTTTCCGTTTCTTCTCTTGTTTTTCACGTTCATCTGTCGCTTTCGCCGTTACATTTGACCCATTTTCATTCGTATCATTGAACGTTGTATTAATCGTGATGACATCGTTTGTATCCTTTACAAAAAGAGACATTTCTATCTCATTTCTGAGAATATTGTTTATCGAGTCAATCACTTTATCACCAACTTTTTTGAGCACTCTTTCGACTTCGTTTTTATTAAACAAGTGCTCCATTGCATCAACAAAATTTCCTTCGTCAGCATTAGTTTTTGGATCATTCGTTTTGGAAAACTCCTAAAACCCCTTTGAGAAGTGAATCTTGTGGAGCAGGTGGATCCAATCTGGACTAAAGTGTTCTAGAAGTTGAGCATACATGGGAGTAACATGTCATGCCGAATTTCATTATTTTTTCGATATTTCCATCGGAAATGTGAGGAAAATCGAACGGGAGTTTTTTTTGATGACATGGGCTTGAAGTGAATCTTTTGGAGCAGGCGGATCCAACCTGGACTAAAGTGTTCTGGATGTTGAGCATATATTTATTTTTTCGATTTTCCCATCGGAAAAGCGAGAAAAATCGATCGGTATATTTTTATCGAAAAACTACCCAATAGGGGGGTAAGGGGTTTTAGGGGCCAAAACTAATGATCCAAAAACTAACTACCATTTGGAGCATCTCAAAATCATTGAGTATGGGGAGAATTAATGGGACTGTTCCTGCCCCCAAGGCCCTTAAATCAGAGTTGGTAAAAATGTTGGGTTAAAAAAGAAACAAAATACCCCCTATGAGGGGTAAGGAGAGGTCAGAGGGGACAACTAATGATGCCAATCGATAGAGCGTAAAAAAGTACCTAAGGGTCACACACACATCGTGAAACACAACTATCCGTGGCCGTTTAATCTTCAATGCATGCTCCATTTTGATTAATTGTATGCGGTAGCGTTGGGCTGTAACCGTTTCACCTGGTTTTAGCACCTTTTTGATCCCACCAAATGCACAGCATGACCTTCTTGCAATGAATGTCTCGTTTTGACTGCGATGGTCCTGGTTGGCCTGGATCAACATACGCTCCCTTACATTTTGGGTTGTCGTAATAGACCCACTTTTCATCGCCCGTGACAATTCGACTCAAAAAACTATGTTTTTTGTGTTCTTTGAGATGTTCTCTGTATGCTGTGATTCGTGCTTTGAGTTGATTTTCGTTCAGTTGATGTGGGACCCATTTTCCTAGCTTTCGAATCTTTCCCATTGCGTGTAAACGTTCACAAATGGTTGATTGAGAGACATTTAATTCCAATGCAAGTTGTTTTTGCGTTTGACATGGATTTTCATCGAGTAATGCTTCCAAATCCGTATCTTCGAACTTTTTTGGCTGAATTGGCCGTTCTTTGTCTTCCAAATCAAAATCACCACTTTTGAATCGTTGAAACCATTTTCTGCAGCTTTAATCTACTGGAGCTTGTTTACCATAAGTTTCCGAAAGCATTTGTTGCGCTTCAGCCGCAGTTTTCTTCGTATCAAATAAGAAAAGGAGAGCACTTCGGAAAAACATTTTATCGCGATCCACTTTGAATTGATAAAAAAATAATGACACTGTGTCGAAAATAAATCTTTCTGCTCTGAATTAGATTGGCAAATGGCACATGTACAATAAAATGCAATTGAATTCACCTGTCAAACTTCATACAAGTTTAAGTGGCGACATCTAACAGTCAGCGGTAAAAATTAATCGATACACCCAATATATGTTGGTATTGCGTCACTTGGGGGACTACCGCCCCCCGTGATAATAAAATGATATAATAAAAAATTGGTTAGCCTAAGGTTGTAATAAACATTAGATGAACCTGAGTTGTGTAATATCTCCGGCTTCACAATGATAACGAGGGGGGACAGTTCTCCACTGTTTGGCTAATGTAACCATTGAACCTGCATCCAGTACACCAAATCCAAATAAGTGATTAAATTCCAAACCAACGCCATTCATAGTCCAATGAAAACGATTTTTTGCATCGAAGAGAGAATTTCTTTTTGAGGTCAATACTGTGAGGTGTTGAATATCTCTCCAAGTTAACATTGTACTGTCAAAAATAAACATTGATATTTAGAATATTACTTTCTTTACTTTACATATCGGCATCTCCTACTTGGCTTCTAGTGCAAGTGCAAATATTCCTGCTGCTTCAGGAGCAGCTGCGCTTGTACCAGAATGGGTTGTCGTGCATTTCCCGTAAAGATCTGTTGTTGCGACACCTGTGTTGGGATCCTTTGCACCATTACTAAAAGTACTTGCCAACGTTGAACTACAACTTTCATCGTAATGAGCATTTTGTCCATCATTAATTGCACTATTAATTGAAATAGTCCACATTGAGGCAGCATATCCATCACAATTGCAGTCATCATCTTCGCCTCCATCGCCAGAAGCCCAGACATAAATATTTCCCAATCCATTCCTGCCCTATAAATTTGAAGAACGCAATTTAGAGTAAACTAAAAATTAGAAATCGTAAAATCAACTAAATATCTGAACCCGACCAAAAATAATTCCGATTGGCTTTGATAATTATAATTTTCTCAAAAAATTAATAATTATTCTTACTTCATTGACTCCTTGTACAATTGCTCGCATTGTGGCATTTCTGGGCCCATCAACAGTTTTACCGTCATCAGTTGGGCCCCATGAAGCCGAATAAATATGAATTTTATGTGGCTCATGACCCATTGAATTGGCTTCAATCAAATCAGTCATATAAGGTTGATCCAACATCCGTATACCTGAAAAAAAAAATCAAATTAAAATATCTGGTTTTATGATTGTTGCGCATATTTCCTGTCTTTTTACCTGCTATTTTCGAATCATAGGCGACACCAACTCCACAAACTCCATTATCTCTAGCCGCAGACACCTCACCAGCACATCTAGTGCCATGGCTATAAAAAAATAAAAATTTAATTGTAAAAGAATGTAAAAAAACATTTTTTTATTTTAATAAATCACCCAAGCGAAGGAACGCTGTTGGGTGCAGTTAATAATAATGAATTATTTTTTTCATTCTCTTATCATTTTTTTCATTCTATTTGCATTACCTATTAAACCAATCATCCGTGTATCTTGGGTATGGAAATGGATCATTGCTACTAAAATCATAGCTGGCTTCTGGGTTCTGATTTAAAAATTAATAAATATCAAAATTCAATATTTTTCAAAGGAATAATATTACTTACATAGTTGTATTTAAGATCAGGATGCATATAATCGACACCTAAAGTAATATATATTATTATGACTCAATTTCTTATCAAAATTCATATATGGGAAGTTAAACCAATTATTATGCTCATTGTGTTAGCATATTGACAATATAAATACAATTAAAATGAAAATATTCACCATCATCCATAATTGCAGTGGTCACATTTTTGCCAGTAATGCCCAGATCCCAAGCAGCTTGCACATTCAAATCTAAATGTTTTTTTCCTCCATTTTGACCAGTATTCCGCAAATACCATTGTAACGGAAAATAGGGATCTGATGGTATAGTTTGCTCACTCTGATGATCATCCACATAAGGTGTCGGAATTACTAAAGATGGTGGTGATGATCTCAAACCTCTCTTTACTCGTACAAAACCAGTCTGTTGAATGGTGGTTCGAATCTTGGAATAAAAAAATTGTGAATCAAATTGGATAGGCGCAATATAAGAACGAGAATCTTGGCATTGTGGTCCCCCGATCCATTCAAAGATTAAAAAGGGGTTTCTTCATAAAAGAGTTTCAAGACATCATCTTTTAAAAATTCAAAATTATTTGGAAAATTCTTAAAATAAGGAATTTATCGTTGATGAATCAAACTCACACCCGAAAAACTCAATTCGTATAATATTTTAAGAAATTTTTTTTCATTCAATTCAAAACTATACGGGAGTAATGATATCATAATGGAAAACCAATTTTAATTCAGAAAGAGACACGAAAAAATCAAATTCTAGAAAACTGAAGTAGAAAAGTATATTCTAGGGGGAGACACAAACGATTAAACCATGATTCCAATATATAACACCAATCCGTCATTTCATTGTCAAATATAATGCCACATTTTGCCGCTATTCACTTTGTTGAAAACTGAATAATCGACACTGGAATATGACATTTTGTTATTGATGATTCAAATTATTTTTTTCATCAATAAAATTTTGAGAAAGTGATTCTATTGTTTTGTAAATTTGTAATCGTTTTTTGAATTAAAAAATATTTCAAAAAAGAACAAGTTACTATCTCAAAACAAGTTCAATGCTTTTAAATTCTGTACTATTGATTACAAAAACATTGAATCTAACCCATTTTCGCTATTCCATACATGCGATTACTGAATCCATGTGAATCCAGCTACTGAATTGTCTATTCCACTTTATTTCTAAAATTTTCACTAAAAGTCTAAACCTATTCCACGTGTCTGCTCCCTAGTACATTTTGTATGGTGGGCCTGAGAGCAGAGTCCCGCTTAATCAAAAAATTGACTTATTATCATAGCTTTATTTACTATAACTAATTAGTTTAGTCTTACATCTTTAACCCTCTAGTGCATTAATTTTTTCCAGAGCTGGGCATTTTTTTTCTGGTTGATTTAGTTGTAATTTAGATTGGCAAAATAATTTTAATCCAAAAAAATGCGTGATTCGAAAAAACAGGTGCAAAAAACTCAACCCCGCCAAAGCTATGCATTGATAATATGTTTTGTATAACGGTGAAACAATTGTTTACGAAAATAATAATGGAAAACTTGAAATGTGCCAGTTGTAGAAACATCTTTCAAACTTCAATAATAATAAAAAAAAACTGAAATAATGTAAACAGCAAGAAAAAAATGTGTTTCGTTTGGCATTACAACAATTCGTGTGCATAGTTACTGTAAGATGACTATGGTATAGTGGATTATTGCATGCGCTAAGAGTCGTATGGTCTTGAGTTCGAATCCGTCCAAAAAATTTTTTTTGCTTCATATCGCCCTTATGTCTTGTTGTTTGTATTATTTCGGCTTATTTTTTTATTATTCGATTTCTCTAGAATAAAAACAGCATATTAAGTGGTGGCATATCAAAGAAATAAGACGAATGAAGCTAAAAATAATTTTTTTTTAGACGGAATCGAACTCAAGACTCTTAGCACATGCACTAATCCACTATACCATAGTTATCTTACAGTAACTACGCACATGAATCGTTGTAATGCTACACGAAACACATTTTTTCATGCTGTTTACATTTTTTCAGCTTATTTTTTTATTATTCTTGAATCTTCAAAATATTTCTACAACTGTCGCACTTTATATTTTTTTTACTGTCGTAAACAATATATATACGCCATATTGAAATTTGATCGATTTGCATAGCTCTGCCTTCAGGCGGGGTACACGAGTTTGGCCATTAAATTGAATTAATTCTATTGGGTGTATCGATTAATTCTTACCGCTGACTGTTAGATGTCGCCACTTAAACTTGTATGAAGTTTGACAGGTGAATCCAATTGCATTTTATTGTACATGTGACATTTGCCAATCTAATTCAGAGCAGAAAGATTTATTTTCGACACAGTGTCATTATTTTTTTACCAATTCAAAGTGGATCGCGATAAAATGTTTTTCCGAAGTGCTCTCCTTTTCTTATTTGATACGAAGAAAACTGCGGCTGAAGCGCAACAAATGCTTTCGGATACTTATGGTAAACAAGCTCCAGTAGATTCAAGCTGCAGAAAATGGTTTCAACGATTCAAAAGTGGTGATTTTGATTTGGAAGACAAAGAAGGGCCAGGTCAGCCAAAAAAGTTCGAAGATACGGATTTGGAAGCATTACTCGATGAAAATCCATGTCAAACGCAAAAACAACTTGCATTGGAATTAAATGTCTCTCAATCAACCATTTGTGAACGTTTACACGCAATGGGTAAGATTCGAAAGCTAGGAAAATGGGTCCCACATCAACTGAACGAAAATCAACTCAAAGCACGAATCACAGCATACAGAGAACATCTCAAAGATCACAAAAAACATAGTTTTTTGAGTCGAATTGTCACGGGCGATGAAAAGTGGGTCTATTACGACATTCTCAAACGTAAGGGAGCGTATGTTGATCCAGGCCAACCAGGACCACCGCAGTCAAAACGAGACATTCATTGCAAGACTACCACTTGTTTCGATCGATGCAAATGGGTTTGTCCGAGATATCGTTTCGAAATCCTGAAGGTGTGCGAAAATGGATCGATGAATGGATAGCCTCAAAAGATGAGGAATTCTTTCGACGCGGAATCGACAAGCTACCAAGGAGATGGGCGGAAGTCATAGCTAACGATGGGCAATACATTGGTTAATGTACTCATTCATTTTGTTATTCAAATAAATATAGATTTTCACCCAAAAAACGGTAAAAATTAATCGATACACCCAATATTAATATCGAAAGAAAATATTTCAAATTATGTAAATAAAAATTCCCGAGCACAGGCGGACCTATGCAAATCGAGCACTTTTCAATTTGCTTGAAAACATTGAACGCATTGTTGTCATAAAATGAATAGAAATATTTGAAAATAAATGGATCTCTGATGCTCGTTGAAATTTCGACAATAATAAAAAAAACACTCCAAATCCGATTGAATTAAATTCTAAATCCGAATATTTTGGATAATTAAAATAATAAATTCAATTTCATTTTGTTTGTTGTCGCCGATTCCAATGAAAAAAAACATACAAACAATCGAAACAATCGAAACTGACCGTGTGACAAATATATAAAAAAAATACATACATATCGAAATATTCCGGTTTAGAATTTTGTTCAATCGTATTTGCAGTGATTTTTATTATTGACAACATTTTAACGTGCATTAGACAGTTGTGTGTATTCAGATATTTCAATTCAGTGATGAGAACAATGCAATCATTGTTATAAATAAAATGTCTTACATCCGTAAGATGAACTTTTCAGCATTGTGATCCACAACACACATTTATTACGTATCTTATACCGTAAATATGAATTCATGAGAAAACTAAATCTGATATAAGTTTTGCGATACAAATAATTTTTGAACGACTTTTCAATGCCTGTATGATATGGTAATCATGTGAAAATTTGCAGATGTTATTTTTTTCACAAAAATCTTACATTCTGAAAGTTTGAAGAAATTTCAATTCAATTGAGTGGTACCTTTCATACAAAATTTTCGATTTTGAGCAAAAAATCCAAAATTTTGTTCGGGAGGTACCCCTATTATGCATTCAAATCTCTTCAAACTCTCGAAATGAAAACTCTTTACATGAAAAAAATAACCTGTGCAAAGTTTCAGCTCATTACGATATGATACAGGCATGGTTTTCATACAAAAATCAAAATTTTTTGAAATTTTTATATGAAAAGTGTGTCGAAAATCATTTGTATCGCAAAACTAACGTCATATTCGGTTTTCTCGTATCAAAAGACCCCTCAATACATATTTTTGAGTGTTTAAGAATTATTTAAATACAACTTTTGATAGAAAAATTAAATTTTTCCCACCAGGCATGACACTTCACTCTACCAACCAAAGTCGCTCAAAATCTAATGGTTTCTATTCCTAGACCAGAGAATGGGGTCATCCTTAGAATTCAGATTTCGAATTACTTTTCTTGGTTGAAAGTTATCGTGTAAACAAATTTTTGCGTACAGCATACAGGGAACGCATATACATTCGGACATCGAAAAGAAAGAGGCTTACGTACGCAAGTTGACTTTTCCGCATGGAACCGAAATTTTGGGAATAAACTGAAATTATGGTCTATATATGGTTGCAGTAACTTAAATTACAGTAAAAACTTACGAATATTATTTTCTTATCAAAATAAATAATCACAATGAGTCTAAAAAAATTTCAATCAAAAAAATAGCATGTTCAAAGTTTCACATCATTAAGGTACCACAAAGGCAAGTCTTTCATACAAAAATAAATTTTTTTGTGGATTTTTGTATGAAAAGTCTGTGAAAACTTGATTGCATCTTAAAACTAGCATCAGATTCGGGTTTCTCGTGACAAAAATCACCACTACACATTCTATCAGCGTTCAAATTGAAAGAATATCATTTAAAGGCATTTTTCTCATAAGTGCCTCTTCAGAGTCTTAGTTTTACACCGATCAATCAATGTTGCTGAAAATATGACCAGATCTATTCCTCGTAGTGCCAAATCATCCCGTGAAGTCAGATTTTAAATTTCATGTCTGAGCACGAAACCATCGTGTCACCAAAATGGTTGAAAAATGATCAAAAAATTTATGGATGTGGATACTCCATTCGGACCGGTCAACAGATATTGCTCAAAAACTAATCAGCAGGTCTTCTAGTAGTCCCAAATCATCCTGCAAAGTCAGAATTTGAATTGAGTTTTTGGATGAAGACTTATCGCGGTAACAAAAAAAGGAGCCACAGGACACAGGACACAGGACAAAGGACACAGGACACAGGACACATCACACACAGCGACGCACAATAATATGCCTCAAAACCATCTTCAATCGTGTTTTCTACATAAAATATGCATAGAAAACATGTTTTGGGTTGACTTTAATTTGTTGACCTAACACAATACCTTTCCTACACTAGGCGTGCGGAAAAGTAAAACGACTGATCCTTGTTTCCTGGCTCCTAAAACACCCAGGAAACATGTTTTCTATGAGTATCAATTTTTCGACCGATTCCAATACCTTACCTTGCACACTAGGTGTGTAAAACAATAATACTCTGATAAAAATATGCTTAAATCGTGAAAAATAGGTGCGTCGGTTTACCCCGAGAAAAATGCGTCGGTTTCGCTAATTAAAATTCTGTGGATGCGAAATACTCTAACACAAATTGCCAAATCAGATCTCTCGCTGTGTTGCGTTCATTTGATACTGAAAATGAAAAATGTCTCATGCCAAATATGGAGGATCAAATAGCGGAACTTCTGACACATACTACGGCGGACAACGAACCACGCGGAACAGACCCACAAAAACCATACTCTAAGCGGCCTGATTCGGGTTCTCTGACTTCAGAAACGCCCGGAAAACATGTTTTTGTGGTGTCGTAAACTTTGACTCATTGCAATACTTTCCCCATACGCACTAGGTGTGTGCGGAAAAGTAAAAAGTTAAATACTTACTAAAGGTTCACGTTTAAGAACTCGTGTTTGCGTTATGCTTCTTCTTGTGCGGGAATGATGTAGAACTTTATTTTTAAAATGGTATTCCCGTCCATTACTGCCAGACAACTAAAAATCGAATGATTAAAAGATGAAAGCTTCGTAAGGGTAAATTATAGTATGCCATATTGGATTGTGACATTGAATTTGGATGAGTAATCTTCTTTTTTTCAATTGCTGAGTTCACCGATTATATCATTACCAATTTCAAGTAAATTTTACAACATATAAATATATTTAAGTTGTATTGTCTAAAGATTCACCTCCCCCACGTTTTCGAAACCATTTCGACTAGCGATGGCATGAGCAATGTCATTGTTAATGTTCTGATGGAATCTGACCAAGAAAGAATTTGTGAAAACAATATTTGCCGATGATACCACTAATGTAGTTAATCCAATGAAGAAATATATCCATTTCGATAACATTTTACTTAAAAAAAAATATAGAAAATATATTCTTTGTTCCTTTTAAAATGTTCGAATTAGTTTCTAAAGTAGCATTTCACTACTCTTGCGTCTATTGCAAAATTATTTTAAACATATGTGTTAAATTTTTCAATCACAAAACATGTTATAATATTTATTATGGAAACTTTTCACAATGATCGATTTTTCATTTCTTTTATTATTTTATTATAAACATCTTTGTAGTACTTGAAACTAACTTTTAAAGATTTATTATCACTATTTTTTGAATTACTTCTATTCAGTAATCAAGTACAAAACGAAATAATTCAATGTCTAAAAGGATAAAAAATTTCTTGAATATTTCTTCACACTGGTAAAAATATACGAGTCTCTACATGAAATCACGTTGCAAAGCTAGGAACCCACACTACTGATAAATGAAAAAGAACGATGGAAATTGAAACAGATAGACTTTATTTGTGTGCAATGTATGTGAGATATGGTTCACATTTATAAAATATCAGGACAACCGCCAGCATTGCGAAATTCAGTGTATGCGCACAGTTATCATAGTCCAATGTGGGAAAAACAATGCTTTATGTCAAAGCGAAATGTAATGTGTAATAACACTTGATTTGCGCATTTTTACAAAATTCAATGGATAAAAATAACAGCTGGAGTACTTTCATCTATAACTGATAATTGATTGAAACAATCTCAAATCAGATTTTTCATTTATTCATATCATTCAGTTTGTAACAGACAATATATTTAGATTTTGTCATCTGGATATTTCAGCTCATCTGGATAACGTTAGGCGATGATACGAAATGAAAACAAAAGAAGTGATTGTTAAAGTTATGCTAGTATTTTTGAACCTATACAATACAACAATCGCTTCTATTGTTTTCATTTCGTATCATCGCCTAACGTTATCCAGATGAACTGAAATATCCAGATGACAAAATCCAAATATATTGTCTGGTTTGTAATAAACATTTTATAAAATACAGTGAAGAATCAAAGATGTGTTGAAGTTATATAATTTCATTTTCGCTCACCCACTGTGTGAAGTAAAGTTTTGTAATCACTTCAAAATTTTGAATCGCTAAAAATCAATTTTCTACGCATTTTAGGACTAGAGAAACATAGAGCAACGGTGTTTTGGGTTTGTGTGGGGATGTGGTACACTTATAATTGTTAGCAGTTCAGCTCTTCTCAGAGAAAAATAAATCAATTTCTAACTTCAAAGGGCTGTCATTCGTATGCGTTTTTTTTTCGGTGATCGGTAGTTTGTTCGTTGAAGTTATTAATGGTCGGTCGGTCGTTCGTAAAAATTTAAATGTTCGCTGCGTTCGTTCGTTTGTGCGATCGAACATCGAATACGTCTGCACGTTCGGTTATTCGGAGAAAAAAAATCAATATATTTGCTCAAGATTTGGAAGTGACTTTTAAAACGTGAAACGCTTTAAAAGTGCAATCATTGAATGTAATAAGCATATAATTAATTGGTTCATATTTTGTGTAATCGCTTCCCCTAACTGGAATATTAAAAAGCGGTATTGAACGGGTATTATGCGCTGAATTATAATAATTTAAACTGTTTGATATATGAGTTGACTTCATATCTCCCTTAATAATTATGAATATGAAAGACACTTGCGCCATCTTGCGTCTTTCCCCCAGCGTAAACATTTGTAGAAACAGCAGTCTATGCTCATATTTTGGAAGTCTATAGCCATCCCAGTTAAATCTTCTTAGGGCATAAAGTAAAAATTGTTTTTGTATTGACTCTACTCTTTTGCACATATTGTCGTAGTGTGGATTCCATATTTCCGATCCATATTCGATGATTGGTAATACAAATGTAAAATAAAGGCGTTTAATTGTCCATGGATCGACGAAATCCAAGTCCCTTATTATAAAGACTCTTTCAATTTGAACACCGCCTATGTTGTATTTGTATTCATATTGCAGTGATCCCCGATGATATGATATGATCTTTGTTTTGTTAACATTTAATTTTAATAAATTGCGTCTATAATAATCCGCTTCACGATCCAAGTCATTTTGAAGATTAATGCAGTCATCTGTTGAGGTGATACATTTTGAAATTTTTGTATCATCAGCGAATAAAGGTATGGTAGAATTGGTCACGACAAAGGTAGATCAATTACAAACATGATGAACAAAGTAGCGCCAATGGGATATCCTTGACCCGTCCCAGAAGTAACTTCGATTGGGTTAAATTTGATATCTGCAATCTTTAAAATTTGTCTGCGACCAGACAAGTAAGATTTGATCCATTCTAACAGCTGCTCATTCAATCCCATGATTTCAAAAATAAGTAAATTTAAGTTAAGTAAATAGTTTTTGAATAAGTAAATTTAAGTTAACCGAGTCAAAGGCCTTGGCTATGTCTTAATAGATGACGTCTGTTTGATGTCTTCTTCCCATGTTAATAATCGTTTTTGAAGTAAATTCCACTAAATTTGTCATCGTTGACCTGTTCTTGATGAATCCATGCTGACTTTCGTGTACTATGTTCATCGTGTATCATGTCAAATATAGATTGAGATGGTCTGTGACGATCGAATCGAGAATTTTTGAAGTAATGCAATGTAAAGCATCCAATGGAATTTCGAATTCTTGTATTCATCTTAATGAAAGGAATGTCAATTTGGGCACTATTTTCAGAAGTAAATTAACGCGATAATTTTGGAGAGAAATGTTTAAACATTATATAAAAATAGTCAGAAAACTTCACTGAATAAAAATATTTTGAAATTAAAATACAATTTTATTATTGAAGTTAACATTTCACTTAGTGGAAAAATCCTTTCTATTTTAAGAACTCTATAATACAAGAGCGTGTATCGTGTCCGATAATTGGGCATAACGATTGTGAATGAAAATGTACCAGAGATCGGACATTGGAAAAAATGTCAAATTAAATGCTTAAAAAAAATTCAATTCCATAAATTGTAATATTTTTCAAAAAATTCAGAATCATCGCTTCAAAAATATATAAATACTGCTACATAAAAAATTGAAATAATTAAAAAAAAATCGATTTGAATGTTCATTTGAACTGTTCTACCTGTCCGATAAATGGGCAAACACTTTTTCCTGCCCAGTTCTCGGACAGGTAAAAAAGGTTGAAAATATATAAAATTGATTTTATATAACAATAAAAATTAAATCTACGATATTTAATTACTTTAAATGTGAAGTATCACACTAATGCGTATAGTTTGAAATATTTTTCTACAAACTTGCATAGATCAACTCATGTGACTGACGTTCGTTTTTAAGCGCAAATGACAGAAAAAATTCAATGATGCTGAAATTGATGATAAAAAAAGGATATTCATTTGTTATGCAAAAAATTACCTTTAATGCCCTCTAATCGGAAAAACTATGAGCTTTCTTTTTATATATATAAATTTAAGAATATTCGAGTATAAATTCGTTTTTTTTTTTTTAAATACAAAGCAAATGTCCGATAACTGGGTGCTGTCCGGTAACTGGGCTTATTACGTTATATTCTTTTCTTGTTGCTTAGAATTTTTCTACATATTTTTCATAAGAAATCAATAATATAAGCGAGCGAAGTGAGTTTCTAGTTATTTAAGTATTCTCACAACAATACCAACCAGAAAAAAAATTTCGAGCTCTGGAAAAAATAATGAGAGGAATAATATTGGTTTTATTACTATTTTATTTGATTTCTTATTTTTAAAATCTCTGTTAATGAATTTTATTTGGCAGGGTAAAAAAAGTGCAACTTTGATCTCCAAAAAATCTCTTTTAGATAGAGTTAATAGATCATTTTCCAACTGTCAAAATCTCTTTTAGATAGAGTTAATAGATCATTTTTCAATACATACCTCATACGAATCTTTGTATAACTAACTAAGTACATAAGTGGGTGTCCTGCAAATGGTTCAAAAACCTGTGCAGTGAGGAAGTGGAACTATTATTTGGTGTCATATCTCGATGGCTACTTGAAAAAACATGTCTTATGGTCCCCATATTCAAGATAAACTTTTAAACTTTCTATTTGATATAAGACAGCGTATTTGAAAAAAGAGGACCATTTTATTGGAAAATCATAAAAAATTTCGGTAGGCTTATCATCGTGAAAACTTGTGAATCTTATTTTCTGACCAAAATACATAACATCACCAAATTTGATGACATTTCGATCAAAAATATGGGTACCTCTTTTACAAAATTCTTGTTTTCTAGTAAATACGAAAAAAATTAAAATGATGTATGGGAGGTACCCATATTTTAAAATGGGTCTCAAAATATGTACTTCAAAAATGCTTATCTTCTCTCAATTATTGAGTGCCCTCACTTTTTGTTCAAATAACACGAAGTCGATTTTTCACTTTTAAGTCCGGAATGATGATGACGATTTCTAATGATAGGTACTCTTATTACTATTTTTTTACTTTCATTTTTGTCATCGGGCACCCCCTTCAAAATCCCATACAAATGTCTCGAAAATTAAAAAAATAAAAGATGATTATTTAAAGAAGAGGGAAGAAAGCAAGATAGCAAGCAGGGCAAATTCGCAAGGCACACATGAAAGGCTTTCAACGCTATGTACTAGGGTGTAGAAGAAATATGAAAAAATAAATACGGCTATAACCTTGGCTATGGGATCCCCAAATTGAAATTTTTGGACCGCAAATGGTTTCATTCGATAGCTCACTTCAAGACCTTTCCAATGATATGTCCGGGGGGTGTCAAGTCATGGCGCTTCGGTGACCATAGGAAAAAAAGTCGAAAAGCGACTTTTAGAGGCAGGCCATGGCCAACATGGCGGCCAAATCGTAAAGTGCCGGAACAAAAAAATCTAAGTTTTTTATGTATTTTAATCACAGAAAGTTTCAAAAAGATCAGAAACAAGTACGCAAAATCGCGGACAGACAGACAGATATACCAAATGATTTTTATAGGAAAATCATATGAAATTTTTAAAATACGGAATTTTTCGAACGGATTGATCGATTTCGACGTTTGAGGTATCGTTGGAAAGGTATTGAGCTCTAGAATCAGATAATCGATTTTCAGGGATCAAAGACCTCATTTAGTGCCATATATGGCCGTAGAACAGAATTTTGACCCTTTTCTTGAAAGGACTATATTTCGAAGCAGGTGGACCGATTTTCGAACTTTGACATGTTTTCTTGATCTATGGCCCAAGAGCTTTCCAACCGAAGCAAAAGGCCTTCTGGGTCTGGACTTCGTACATTTCGTGTATATATAGCGAGTTCGACTTTTCAGCACACTAATGTGGTTTTGTCACTCGCGCGAACTGCCGTCCGCTGTGATTTGGGTCCTGTTTTTATGATTAAGCAATATTGAGAGTACACTGTAAAAATAAGTACTATACGAAATATTGGCATATGTCAATAGTTCGAGGTTCAATTGACATTTGCCAATAAACGTATTGCCAGATGCAATAAAATGGGTGGTCGTAACTATAGGAGCGGTCCGTATAATCGAACGCTTCTGAATAATTTCTCAAAATTTCAAACTGACTCATCACATGAATCGAATCCATTGCCTCCAAAAATTCATTGGGAATTTTCATCAATAAAAACTAGTCTTTTTTTTTTGGAAAAAACACCTTTGGGAAATTTATTCTATGAAATTATGTTCATTCTGAAGAGAATTTAAACGGTTAAAAATAGTTAAATTTGCCCATCCTTTGGAGCGTCTTTTTTCGAAGCGTCACTGTTCTCCAATCATGCTGCCAATTTTTCAGCCAGAATTCCAATACCAACGATTGTGGATTTCGACCTTCAATGCATGTATTCTTTTCAAATGAAGACTTTGCTTCATCATGTAAATCAGATTGGCCGCATCTAAGACAAATATTCAAAAGATTGGAACCAGGTGCCACATCCATTTCTGCAAGGATTACCCAAAATGTAATTAGTAGACAATATCTGACAGAGTTGAAAATTAAGTATTGCTACTTACTACGCTTTTTGGTGTTGGGATCCTGTGGACCATCATTGTCATGCGTACGTTTTCTATGAACTACAGCCTTGTTGCGACCGCTTCCATTACCACCGTTGTCGATGTACTGTTTACGTTCTCCATCCGTACGTCTTTTTGATACTCGCTTTGTTTCATTAACAGCTGCAGCTGCATCTGGATGATCAGCCAAATAACGATTATAAATTTCTGGGCATGACAAATTCTCCTCCAATTCCCAAGTATCATCTACTTCATCATATTTCTTTCAACGAATTTTGAACAATTTCTTTTCACCTTGAAATTTGTGACCACCTTGTTCTTCGATTACCTAGAGTTATAAGAGCATGGTAAAATCGAATGTTTGAAAAGTATTTTTGAAAGTACTGTAATTTGTAACTCACTTTAACAATTTCAACGGAAGCTGGAGCTGGTGCTGAGTAACCGCCTTCTTGAACAAGAGCCGATGGTTTGATAGATGCTGGGAATGGTGTCAATGGAACATTGACCGTCGATGAAGTTGCAGTTTGACTAGGTACTATGATTGTTTCACTAACTGGCAGTAGCTCATCATCATCGAATATCTCGGTTGCTGTTCTAGAAAATTTCCGCTATTCGGGGCTGACATTTTTTCCGCAATTCGCAGGATTTCAAGACAATTTTTTAATTTTTTTTTCCTCAGATTTAGAGTGATTTTTGTTTTTGTCCAGGCCCTGGGATTCCAGGCGATGAGAAACGATTTATTGGTGGCATTTTTCTATGTTGAAACTATGATTCTGAATGTTCCGGACGCTTGAGCATCCCCGAACTGATTACAAGAACTTAAAGCACAGTGAATAAGAAACAGAACAGTTTAAATTCAATCCAAGAAAATTCTAATTCACAATTTTGACTTACTGTATAGAAAACATAAAAAATGAATGCTTACAATAATATTTCGTGAATGAGTTAAAAATCAAATTTCAACGAAATGAAATTTACGTAAGTTACAATGATTATTATTGATATGCATGCAATCAATTTTGATAAGCGCTTGGGTCGCTTCAGAGCACTATAACTGTTGCACTATAGTTGCATTGGATGCAATATATAAATATGCTTGTGGTGTGGAGCGATCGAAGCAACCACCAAAATTGATAACTATTGTAATCAAATTTGATAAGCCTGTCAACAAATTGAATGACAGATACAAGAACTCAATCTAGTACTGCAGTACTGGACGCTTCCATAATAGAGAAGACGCTTCCAATGTGTATGGATATGGTGTTGTTGTATCTGTCATTCAATTTGTTGACAGGACACACCGTAATTACCATTTTTAATCGAATCATATAGGTAACCATTAAACCATTACAGCGTTTGTTGAAGTGTGTTAAATTCACGAAAATGAATACGAAAAAAATTAAGCGTGAAAGAAAGGAGAAAAATGATTCAAAAGAATCAAAAACCATAACATTAAAGTACGGTGTGTGTCATCCAATCACAAACGAATGGTACAACAATCAAAAAGCCATGATAATGAAAAGAAAAAAAATGTGTGCTCTGTGAGAGGTTGTTCCCAAGATTTCTTCGAAATGAAAAATTGGCGGAAGCATTTCAGGCTCTTTCACGCTAAATAAAGCGATCAAATTAAAAAGTACACGGAAAAACTGCAGGTATGCATTCCATGTCTGTTGAAAATAAAACAATATTAACTTCAACTCCAAACTGCAAAACAGCGACCGTAACGCGATAATTGTAATCAATTTTAAATTCAATTATGTAAAGTAAATGAAAAAAATCGATTTAAAAAATTAACACTTTAAAGAAATAAAGCTCTGAAATACCCATGCATATCAAAATTGATTACAATAACCATCAATTTTGATGGTCACTTCGATCGCTCCACACCACAAGCATATTTATATATTGAATCCAATGCAACAGTAGTGCAACAGTTCTAGTACTCGAAAGCGACCCAAGCGCTTATCAAATTGCTCATCTGGTAGGACACATAACGGACATTTTCTCGAAAACGGTTCAATAGTTTTCTTTGAAAGTTCCACCGATTTTACTTCTATTTACTTCCACCGATTTTACATAAGTTATAAAATTCCACATAGCTTATATCCAGGAAAATTCTTATTTTTAAGATATGGCCTTTGCAAGCACGGCCCACTTGGCCAATAGCGACTAAGAAAATTCATGCGGGGTGGCCAAATTGGATAAAACCCAAAATGTGGTTGGACACATAACAGGCAATTTCTCGAAAACGGTTCAATAGTTTCCTTTGAAAATTTAATCAATTTAAGTCTCAAGTCAAAGATGAAAAACTGTGCATACTACACACCACAGAAAAAACCACTTTTCCCCATTATGAACCATTATTTATATCATTTTGATCCAAAAATAACCTAAAAATCCATATTTTCATTGTATTTATAAAAGATTCAAATTCATGTGTCTTGAATCTTTAACTTTGAAACTAAAACAAAACTATTGATATCAAATTAAAAGACTCTATCGAGGTTAAGAACGACCCTGGTTACTGCCCTTTCTGAGAGGTATGAGTGAAATGCGAAATAGTTAAGGCATAAATAGATTAACCCTTCTAGGTAAAGTTCGAAATAAAAACAATATAGGATAGCTACGATCTATTAGACCGTCCATTCAAAATACAGGGAAAACCATACAAAGAACAAAACAAAGTTACACTTTTTTTTAAAAAATTGTATTTTTTTGTTATGAAAACATTGAATGAAGTTTGAAAGTGAAAAATTAAAACGATTTTAAGAAAAAAATCAATTTGAATGATCACAACCATTTACATGAGAGCGTTTTTTTCGCGATTTGCACACAAGACAGTGATTTTTGAATGTTAAACGCCTACATTTTTATTGCATTTGTCGAAATTTGTTTTGGTTTTACCGAAAAATCGAAGCCATTTAATGAGACTTAAATTTAAGAATTTCAATGAGTCTTGAATCTGTATTTCAACGTTTAAATCGAAACAACGAAGTCTTTTTTTTCGCACTACGATGTGATAAACATGAGTCGCGCTATTGCAGCTGAATAAGGTTGTTCTAATTAATAATAAAGTTATTATACGTAAAAATTAGTTGAAACAAGAGGGCCCAAACAATATTCTGAAAAGCAATATGAACCATTTTCATTTGGAATATTTTAAAATTTTATTTGTTTTTTGGTATTCGGCCACCAAGCTGGACGATATGTATTTACATTTATATTTTGAATTTTTAAATAACTTGCAGAAAGTGCCACATCTATTCTTAAAAGACCAATTGCGTAGTTACTTTGAACACCTATAGGGTTGATCAGAAGAAAAGAATAAAAAAAATGGAAAAATAATCAATAGGCAATGGAACAGAATGGAAAATGAAACTATAAAATAAAGTATATAGTTTAATCGTAAAATCAATGACCACAACAGCATTGCTTCAATATGAGATTTGGTAGTAGTAGTAGTGTTGATCACTGTGAAAAGAGAAAAAATGCCATTAATATGCTTACTATGGAGTAGTACTGGTTGCCAAGGTTACCTATCAATCAGAAAAAAGAAAGAAAAGAAACACATAGAAAATCACCATTAATCAATATATCAATATCAGTCTACAATGAATGAAACCAAAATAATAATTAATTGCAAACGATACTTACTCACTAGAGTGTATCGATAATGTGAAATATTTCGAAATCAATGTTGCACCAAGACCCAGAAATCACATCCTGATGTTTTTTTTTTTTTTTTTCAAAAAAAAAATCAACATTGAATTCGCGCATCCAGCCCAAAAATTCCAAAAATTTTCAAAGATTTTGTATTTGTACAAAAACTTGACTATACTCTCAATATTGCTTACCTTTATACATAAATCATCAGAACAGAAATCCCATAAACGCATTTCAATTTTTTTTTAATGTAAAGTCAAAAAATGGTACCGTCACCGTGGAACGAAATTCCATCGAAAATTCTCAAAGATTGTGATTTTCAAATTATTTATTTCTGCACAAAATTTTATGAAAATCAAAGGTTCCTTATTCTGGGATGAACAATAATTGTCTGAAAATAGTGGTCGCAAAGCTTCTACGTCCTAACACAACGGTAACACCGCGGTAGTTCATGTCAAAAATTCATTCACCCAGTGGTGACCTGTACTGCACTATGACGTATATTCCATCAAAGATTACATGTATGTCACAAATTGAGTAACATCTACGAAAAGCGCAGATGTTGTAGAGTATTGACCACTTTAATCGATAAAGAGCTAAAAATATGTTATTGTTCAGTATTATTCTACAAAGCCTCTAGTTGGTATCAAAATTGGTACCAACCATGAATGTGTGACATGTAATACTTCGTACACATTAATTTCAGACAATTATTAATTATCCTGGATCATGTAACCTTTAATTTTCATAATTTTTTGCTTAGAAAAAAATAGTTTGAAAATCAGAATTTTTGAGAGTTTGCTCCATGGTGAGAGTTTTTTGAGCTCCTTTCTGATGATTTGAGCATAAAAATAATCGATTTTGGGAGTAGAAAATCGACCATTTTTGGAAATTTTTAGAATTTTAAGACACCATGCGCGAATCCAGTTTTTAATTTTTTTGCAAAAAACATCCATAGATGTAAACAAATTTGTAATGTTTTTAGTACATTCTAACGTTGAGAAATGTAAGGTTTTGACCTATTCTGGTGGTCATTTTCGTGTCAAATGGAACAGAGATTATATGCATAGTTCCCACGAATTCCAATGGAATAGATCCACCTGTTTCATTCACTTCCAATAATATTTCATTTGACAACATAATGTGAACACAATACATTAAGTTTTAAATTGAAAATCTAAATATTACGCTCAAATATTGGGTGTATCGATTAGTTTCCGGATTTTTTTTGGTGAAAATGAAGGCTTGACTTAAGTAAAATTGAAAGAAAATGTCATTCGAAGTATTGTCCATCGCTAGCCACTACTTTTATCCATATTTTAGTCAAAAGATGAAAATCGGGTCGAAATGGTTCTTCGTCCTTTGTGGTTATGTATTCATCGACTCATTTTTGACTATTCTATAAATAGAGAACTGCCAATCAGGCACACGACGTTTAATCAATCCAAGTGGGTACAATTCGGAAAGGGCAATGTCCATTGACCATGCGGGGGAGGAAAAGATGTTTCTCTCCAACTGCGTTTATCTTATTCTGGACCAGGTGTGCAAAAAGTCAGAGAAAATAAGCTCTTCAAAAATGGCCATTTTTTGATTTTGGAATTTTTTTCGTGTCTTCTACTTTCGAAATGGACTCAAATCGACTAAATATTATTGGCAGAGACCATTTCTACCATTACAGATAAGTTTCAGCATTTTTTGATGCACAGTATCTTTCCGATTGGACCAAATATTGAAAAAGTCCCCAAAATTGGGGGGTAATTGCCCCCAGCCGATTTTTTATAGTTGGATTAAATCGATTCTTTTTTGCTTTAAGCTATTGAGAAGGGTCCATTCTACACTATCAGTTTCTACACGAATTATGGTTTTTTCTCCAACTTTCAAAATTTTCCATCGTTGAAAAAAAATATGATGCACACAAACAAATGAAACACTTTTGATTTTGACAGTTTTTGAATAGGCCTTTCAAATGACGTATATGTCATTGATCTACTACAAGCACGATTTGGGTGAAAGAGATAGCAAATTTTTCACTTCAAATTATATAGAGCATTTAGTGGTGTTCGGGAATTGAGAAAAAAATTTTTTTTTTCTTTCACTTTTTGTGCTCTATACCGAGTCTCCGAGAGTTTCATATAAACTTGCCTTGCAATAGCCAAATGACGCCTATTGATTCAATCACGATTGGTATTCGCTTACTATTCAATAGGCATCACATAGCAAGTTTATATGAAACTCTCGGAGACCCGGTATAGAGCACTCAAACAGTGAAAAAAGTCCAGATCGTGATTTAGATGATATGGAATGCGATTTTTTTCATTCTGATTTCACCAGGTGATACAGAGAATTGAGTAGTATTTGAGAATCGAAGAAAAAAAATGTAATTATTTTTTTCATTTTTCGCGATTTTTTATACCATCTATATGGGAAGCTTGTATGAAAAACACGGAAGACCGCTGAAATGACATTGTCGTACGTCCGTACATATTTCGTATTTGCCATTTCAGCGGTCTTCCGTGTTTTTCATACAAGCTTCCCATATCGATGGTATAAAAAATCGCGAAAAATGAAAAAAATAATTAAATTTTTTTTCTTCGATTCTCAAATATTGGGTGTATAAATTAATTTTGATCGCTGACAATTAGATGTCGCCACTTAAACTTGTATGAAGTTTGACAGTTGAATCCAATTGCATTTTGTACATGTGACATTTGCCAATCTAATTCAGAGCAGAAAGATTTATTTTTGACACAGTGTCATTATTTTCTGATCGATTCAAAATGAGCGATGAAAAAGTGTTTTTCTGTCTGGTCTCCTTTGGTTCAATTTTTTCACTTTGAATAAAGTGAAAATACATCTAAAGGTTATAAAATGTTGCAGGAGACGAGACCTCTCATTCGCCACAGAGAATGTTGAATTTGGTGAAAAAGAAGTGGTGAATTTGTTGAAAAACTGTGAACTCACCAAAAAAAATTGAATGATGGGCTGTTGGCATTTTAAATTCGATAAAGATGCATGAAAATGCATCAGAAAACATCAGAAGCATTAAATATATGCGAATCAATCCTTTTAAGACTTCTATAATGAGGTAAGACCAAAGGAATTTTGTGCCATACCAGTTGAATCCAAAACTAGTTGTAAGACGTTTTTCACATTTTGGCACAATGTTCCAAAAATAGGAGAGAAAGGAATTTTTGTATCGTATTGTAACTGGAAGTGAAGAGGGCATCTGCTACGATAACCTCAGGCATAAAAATAAGCGTTCAATCCCACACAATCATCAAAATCGATTGCATAGCAGGATTTTGATGATTTCTCGGTAATGCTCATTATTTGGTGGGATTAAAGTGGTGTGGTGTATAATGAGCTGCTGAAACCGGGTGAAACTGTCACGGGGGATCGGTATCGACTACAACCAATACGTTTGAGCAGATTACTGAGAGAAAAATTGAGAAAAACTGCGACAAGAAATAGTCGAAGGATTCATCAAAATTTGACATATTCCAAACATCGCAAAAAAAAAGATAGGGGACTCTGGTCGGGGTGAGCTTGATCACCCCCCGTACTCTCCAGACCTTGCCCCTTCTGACTACCACTTGTTTCGATCAATGCAAATGGGCTTGTCTGAGATATCGTTTCGAAATTCTGAAGGAGTGCGAAAATGGGTCGATCAATGGATAGCTGGAAAAGATGAGGAATTCTTTCGACGCGGAATCGACAAGCTGCCAAGAAGATGGGCCGAAGTCATAGCTAACTATGGGCAGTACATTGGTTAATGTACTCATTCTTATTATTTTTAAATAAATGTTTCCTTTCACCAAAAAAACGATCAAAATTAATTTATACACCCAATACTACTCAATTTTCTGTATCACCTGGTGAAATCAGAATGAAAAAAATCGCATTCCATATCATCTAAATCACGATCTGGACTTTTTTCACTGTTTGAGTGCTCTATACCGGGTCTCCGAAATTCTCATATAAACTTGCTATGTGATACCTATTGAACAGATTTTTTCTCAGTTCTCATACATATAGTACATAAAGTTATGATTGAAATGTCCAAAAAAAAAACTTTTTCTCAAACTGTACCCCGAAAAAATTTCTATGAATAGGACTCAAAAAAAAGTTTACAATCGAAGTGTCCCTCAAATTTATTGCAAATGAAAATGGCACTTAGGAAAATTTACATGAATCTTTTTTGTGGGGACATTTTAGTTTGAAACAAATATTCGGGACACTTTAATTTGAAACAATTCTGTGGGACACTCCAGTTTGAACCAAAATTGAGTTTCATTATTATTCTTAACCATTCATATGTGTCAAACCAAATCCAATGATATTCATTTATATGTATTAAAAATGTGCTCGCATTGTGCGACAGTATTCTTAGTATAAACAACTTCCATCACTTTGAAACTTCAATCACACCAACCGATTTTGTTTACAATAAAACTTTGTTTTGTTTTCAAGAGGATTTCTTGAGAATTAGATATGAGTGTTTGTAGCGTGGTTTGGGCGATCAATTGATTTTATTATCATTTCAATTTCAACGATTTTGTGTTTTCGGAACGCTGTTCGCTGAGGAATGGATATATTCACAGTTGGTTTTGTGTTCATTTTTGTTTTAATTTCGAAATAACAGAGTGTTGATAAAATTTACTGTGAATATTCCAACATCATTTCGATCGGGAAAATATTTGATGTGTGATTGGAAATAAATTTCATCATTCGATTTAGAACACAGTGTCACTTTGTTGAGGTAAGACGTGATACTTATAATGCGTTCTTCATTACTGTTTCATTTGATTTGTGCGTTTATTTGTATCAGTTTTTCAAGAATGAAAAGAAAAAGAGATAACAACGATTCGCCGGTATACGATGACGAATTTCGTTGCAATGAAATGTGGCTTGCAAACAATACTTCGACCCGAGCATGCAGCAGTTGTGACGCAAATATTGTTTGAGCGCAGTCTTCAAATGACGGAAGTTGCCTCATTGGCCTCACTTTTGATTTTATTCAAGGTGAATGAAGCACTCGATAATGAAGATCGTCAGTTCTTTTTGCGATGGGAATGTCGACAGTTCTCTTCAAATGCTTCAATTCGGTATTGGCCGAAAATGTTTACAATAATAATACCGATTATCCCATACTGCCAGAGTTTCGGTTCATGGTCGAAAGCTTCTGTGACGAACAGTTCGAATGGCCGAGCAAGGAAAAGTTGGAGAATGGTTTTCGTTTCGTTGTCAAACAGCACATCGCAAATACGAAAACTGGTCTCACCACTTGGTGTGAAGATCGACTTGAGTCATTCTTTCGAATGCGATGCTGGTATCGCAATCACAACATCAATGGACCGAGATTTGATGGCATCGACATCAGAAATGCCAAAATGTAAGCATATCGATCCAGCGACTTGACCAATGGTATTGTGGAAAGAATAGAAAAGGTGAAAAGAATAGAAACAATAGAATACCATTCATGAAATATTTCGTGACAATCCGAACTTTCAACAGCCAACAAAAAATCGCCCACGGAAAATAAACAGTTTTGCTCTTGTACCGTTATGCGAATATCATTTGAAGTGCGTGCGATTGGATATAAGAGATTTGTACGAAAAATTGGCAAGCAAGCTAAAAGTTGTGCCATGATTCCTGAATACTGAGACCAACCGGCTAAATAAATACCCAGAAAAATACTACAGAGATCATGATCGAGATGGACTATGGAATTTGTTGTTCGACGTCGATAAATCAAGCAATTGGGCAAACGATCCAAACAATTCCATCATTAAATCTATTGTACACCAAACTAGAGCAGGCGTGCAACGAAAATTTGCATTTACAGGCGGACAATCTTGAGGGTAAGAAATACGTTATTGGCATCGATCGGAATGAAAATACGTGGTTGGCTATAACGCGTCTCAACATCCGGAAAACACCTGATGAACCTGCCGTTGAGGTGAGATTTTTTGAAATCTAACTTGAAATTTATTTGAATCAAAACTTATTGTTTATATGATTTTAAATTTTGGAGGAAAACATTAACCAAACATAATACCAAACACGCGATTCTATTGGGAAACTCGGCAGAAATGAAGAGAAAAAGTGGCGAAAAAATTAGCTGGATTGTTTGATATCGAAGAAAAGAATCATCATTCAAGATTCAACATGGCAATGGTACATTGAGTATCGCATCAAAATGCTACGAAAAGGAATGTCAGCATATGCTACGCGCAAATATTCACGACTGGATTTTGATCATTACATGAAGTCGAACCAAGTAAATGATAACATCGCCGTGACAGTGACCAACAACGCCAGGGTCAGTTATCATATGACAAATTTAAATCTCAGAGATGACCCGGACTGCAGACTGTGCGGTGGAGAAGTGGAAAACACTGTCCAGTGTTGGATACTATACGGGCTGATTTCACGGGCTGGCGATCCTACCCTTTGATTCATGCATCGAATGTATTCAAATCCTACCCTTTGATTCATGCACCGAATGTATTCAAATCGGTAACCTTTTTCAAACGGGCATGTGATGAAAATCCATGCCTCAGAAACATTTTTAGATAAAAGACTATTTTCGTGTATTCAATACACACACGGGCGTCTTGCAATAAGTTATGAAACTTGAGCAACGAGTAACTATATTAAAACTTCATTTTAAATAGGACACTCTCCGTTTTAATCCAATAATCCAAATGGGTGAATTTGTATTACAAATTGTTCCTTGGGTAGGCAAGATTCCTTGGACCATTTGGCATAGGTTATTCATAAGTGCACTTTATTTTTAAAAAATCGATACACTCTATTACTCACACAGCGTAAATTACTTGTAGTCGGAATAACCTACGGGAGACGTCCGAAGAGGTCTGATTCATTTAATTTGTACCGATGAAGACCACGATTTTGGACCGGTTCGTAGTTGGGGCAAACTTGAAACTGAACGATACAAATCCGATACGATAAAATTAAAAAAACATTTCACAATGAAGAAAATGCAATACAAAAAAAACTTACCGATCCTTTGTATTCATATTTTTCGGATTCTGACATCGCTTGGTCGGTTTGTGAACGATGCAAAAACTAAAAAATGAAAATAATAATATTGTATTTTGAAAAACCGGTAAAAATCCAATTCGCTAGAATATATCACTTTCAATGCAAACTGAAAATATATGCGCAGCACGTTTAGTCCTTATATACTGGGAATGGTTCGACACTATGTGACTTGTTACCAGCTTGTTGGTTTGAAATGACACAGTCAAATACACACACGCAAACACATTCAATTCGGTTCATCGTTGACAGTAGCCGATATCGAACAGCGAATGCGTTACTTTTGTTGTTGTTACTGTTGTCGTATGTCCGTACATTCATATCACCATGTTGTCGCTGTGACGTTGCTCCGATGCTGTTGTGTGTATGTACAAACATATTTACTACTACCAAATCGCAAATATTTGTCAGCAATCAGTTGCGACTTTTGTTTCTTTCATATATGTGTGTGTTAGTGGTCAAACTATATAGCTTCTTATAATAGAAATAATGTGAATGATGATAATTGAAAAGAATGGAAAATGAATCAGGAATAGTAATTTTTAAGAAAGTATAGGCATACCTTTAATTTTACCAATAATTTGATTTTTTTCATTCCGAATGGATTCATCGTATTGAATTTTCAAATATTCGTCATCTGATGAATCTAAAATGATGGGCATAATTCTTTTTCGGATTGTACCAGTATGATAAGTTCTAGCCGTGAATTCTTGCCCCAAATAGCAACCTTTATGGAAACTTATTCCATGAAGATAATCGCAATTCACTTCAAATGGGAAAATTCTTGATGGTGGAATCTCTCTTATGCCTTCACAAATTCCGAAAACATATCGATGAACTTTATAATTATAGTTAATGTCCGATATATCACTGATTGCTTCATCATTTACTTTCTGAAAGTCTTTTAGATTAAAACTTTTCGGTGTTATTAATCTTAAACCCATTTGGTTAACTCTGGGATCAAGACAAACAATTACTTCATCACTTAATTTCTTATATTCATTAGCTTCGAGCAATTTCGGAATTTCATTTAAATTCTGGTGTTTTTCAAAGCATGCCCAAATATTCATTTCATTTGATACAATGTCAATGTTTACTTGTTTTCTTATTCGGAATAGCAATAAATGTTGTTTTAATTGCTTTTCAATTGTTCGATCACATTCGATTAGATATGCGTTTTCGTCTGAAAAAGAAAAAAAATTAATTATATAAATTTCAACTAATACGAAAACCGAAAAAAATTATTTTATATATTAATATATATTTATATATTAATTATTATTATTATTATTATTATATTATTTTTAAATAAACCACCAAGGCGAAGTAATGCTGTTCGGTACAGTTATTATTATTATCGATACTAATTTAATTATATATTATAGATATTTTTTAAATATTTGTTTTATCTTTATTTATTTAAATAAACCACCAAGGCGAAGGAACGATGTTCGGTGTGGATATTGTTATTATTGAAGTATTCAAAAAAATAAAAAATAAAAGTGAAGTTATTCGTATCACGTTTTAATTCAGAATGGCTCACACATGTTCTTAACCTCGGGGCTACTAAATGCACTTTTGTAAGCAGATTACTGAAAATTGGGATTTTAAATTTTTTTCATTCATATGTGTGTGATCAAAAATAAAGTTTAAATTACATATTTACTTATAATGTAAGTAATATATAAAAGAAAGGAGTAAATAATTTTTCAATGATAGGAGTGATTACCTCGATTTTTGTATATGATGGCATCATACAATACTCTTCCTTGTTTATTTAGGAACAGTGTGAACATGGAACTATGCATTGTTTTGAGATGAAATATATCATTTGTAATTAGACCTTGTAAGAAATTTTTCACATCAAGACCAGATATACGAAGTAACCCACGTTGGTATGATAAATTTTCATGAATTATTGTGTATCGCGATGAAGTGTTGGCAAAACGACATCGAAAATATTCTGGAACTTTTTGCACACTAGCTTTGCATAGGTAATTCATATTATTTTTAATAAATAAAGAATTACAATGTTTGTTATATATCTATCAAATATCTGAAATAATATAATTCGAGTAGCCTCAATGTTTAATCTGGAATGATACAAATATATTTAAGTTCGATTATTAACACTGTGATTAAGAATATACACATTATAATTATTTGATTGAGTAAATCTTGAATAATTTCATAGTTCTACCGAAAACTTTTCAAATAAAAAGATATATTTTAAATCCCAGAACTATGGAAAAAATACCAAAAAATAACAAATTTCCATCTATATAAGCATCGAAGATAATGTACATTTGACATTTGATTTTCATTCTAAACAAAAAGTACAACTAACTTCATGTATGTGCTAGTTGTACATCAGTTGTCTATTCTGTCAAAATTTTCATTAGTTGTCCGTATTTTACTTTTCATATATTATTTTTAATAGTCGTGTATCAATTTTCAGACATAAATGTTTTCATACAAATTATTATGATTGACTGTTTGTTCTTTTATTTGTCTTGAAAATTATATATTGGGCGTTGTACAATGGACGTTTCAAAAACAATTTAATCTACTAAAAGGTATATGTATTAATCTATTCTATTCTATTTCTTTTTAATAACTTATATTTTTTTCCAGGAAGTTTCATAATTCTATATTCTTATTAAAAAATGGATCAAAATGGGAAAGACGATTTGAAAACACAGTTCATAACACGAGAAGGCACATATCGACTAATTACATTATCGGAGTATTCTAGACCAAATCGTGTTGGCTATCAGTCAAATCAAAATAACCCTCAAGTACGAGTTTCATTACTTCCAGCTAAAGTGAACAGTGATGTATCTGCGACAAACAACACTGGGTCTTCAGTTTTAACGAGTTCAACGAATACAACAAACGCGGTAATATATTTATTTGCTGTGATTATTTTTTTCATTCAATCATTTATGGTTATTGGGTGATCGACAAACATATTCCAAAAGATATTTTATTTAAACATTTTTTTATAGGGTGCGTCTAACAATTCAAGTTACATATTACAACAGCCATCTGCAAACACAAACAATTCTGGAATAACTAATGGTATTTCTGAAATACCTCCCCAACATCAGCAGTTTCAACAAGGTTTCAGTGATAAAATTTGCTTCAATTTTGGCAAAGAACTCTATGTGTACACCTACCGCGGGGTAAAGAAGGTAACTGATCCATGATTTGGAAAAGAATACCTCTTCAAAAAATACCTGCATTAAATATATTGCCAGAAATAACAAAAAAAGGATGCATTTAATAGTCGTTTTTTTTCGAAAGCTATAGCCTAAGGAATAATATGCAATGCAAATTCACCCATTACCAGGCACAAATTCACGGTCAAATTTGGACCCTGATTTGTGTGTAGTTTCAGTTATTTTTACGGTTGCCATAGCGTAAAATTTAGGTGTGAATACATGGAAAAGAGGAACAACAATCATTGATATCAATTAAATTGTATATGAAATATAATTTTTTTAAATTAAAAACTTTACTCATCTACGGGCTCCTTCCCTCCGTACTACCGTTGTACTGTTCTTATGAACGCACAACAAGGCCACAAAATTTGTGTAACACCAGATCGCTAACTAATCGTTATAATATTTGTTTTATCTATACATTTATGAATTCAATGCTGCTGTTGTCAGTTGTTTGCATTCGGTGGTCTTCTCAACGAATCAGGCACTAGTACGCAAAACATCTGACAAAGTCCTGTAAAATGTGAAGTAAAAAGTTTAAACAATGAATAGGCTCTATTTTCAATTGATTCATACCTTTACTAAGAATATCGCGGTACCAAACAACTGTCTTCGGAGCAGCAGCATCACCCTGAAAAATTATTATTTCCTCTTATATCCAATCGCGCTCAAGTCGAATTTCATGCCAATTTGCGAGATTGGTTATCGTATTTGTGATCTGCTATTTGCAAAAAAAACTGTCTACGATCCTATCGCAAAAAGAACTGACGATCTTCTTTATCGAGTGCTTCAATCACCTTGAATAAATAGTAAAATTTGTGTCACAACTCACGTGAGCTAAAAATGCATCAAAAATAGTGAATCACAAACAAAATTACATCATACTTTTTTCCACTGGAATCCATTTATTAGAAACTTGCATATAACGTTCCATTTCACACTGTTATGAGCAAATTATGGCTCAGATGTTACATTTTTTAACGTTAAAATATACGGAAAAAGATAAAATACTTTCACAAGATAATAATAACCATTAAAATGCTGATTTTCATTTGGAGGTATTCTTCATTCTATGAATGAAATAGCATTATACGTTAAAAACTTTTAAATGTTTCAGAATGTTGACCTTTGTAAACCAATAGATAAAAAACTATACAAAGGTACGAGTCCAGCAAAAATTACTATTCCATTACTCTACAATTCCTGATCCATTACTTATTGATTAATTTACATTTTTTCCATGCGCTTCTTCTGATAATCCCTAGGTACCAGCCCAAGTTGTCACGACTTCAACGGAGCAACTTCGGTGAACGATTGTGCATCTCTTTTGGTTGGATTTACAACAGGACAGATACAGCTTGTTCAGCCTGGGAAAAGAGAAACTGGACGTTTGTATAATGAGGAAGTAAATATTCGTAGTGCTATAAATTTTGTAACTATTTTTAATTCTTTATGCTATGTCATTTCAGAGACTAATCGACAAGACAAAAGTCACTTGTCTTAAATGGCTTCCTAAATCGCCAAACTTGTTCCTGGCTTCACATTCTTCAGGCTACTTATACTTGTATAATGAAGAGCTGCCGTGTTGTCCAAATGTACCAAACTATCAAAATTTCAAAACCGGAGACGGTTTTACAATTTTGACATGTAAATCGAAAGCGTCAAGAAATCCGTTGTACAAATGGGTTTTCAACTCAGACAATTGTAGTATAAATGAATTTTGCTTTTCACCGTGCGGCACAATGTTAGCCATTGTTTCACAAGATGGATTTTTACGCGTATTTTATTACGATACAATGGAATTGCTTGGAATAGCACGATCCTATTTTGGGGGATTTTTATGTGTTTGCTGGAGTCCTGATTCCAAATACGTTGTAGTTGGAGGTGAAGATGATTTGGTAACAGTTTGGTCTGTGAATGAACGTCGAGTTGTAGCACGTGGTCAGGGACACCGATCCTGGGTGTCTGTTGTTGCTTTTGATCCATACACTTCATATTCGCATTCTGATAGTTCTGAACTTTCTGATGATGATAACACAGCGAACTGCTCAAGCAATGGCAAAGTACAAAAAAACAATGACAATATCACTGACGACATTCCATGTATAAGCAGAAACATGATACGTCGAACCAGCTATCGCTTAGGCTCAGTTGGTCAAGATACACAATTGTGTTTATGGGATATTACAGAGGATATATTAAGAAGACAATCTTATGAGAAGAGACATCGACGCAGTTCGCTCGAAACACAAAATGTTGATTATCATGATGATATACAAATCGCCAAAGTCTCATCATCAGAAAGCGATAATAATTCAAAGATTAATAGTTTTCGCTCGAAATTTACAATTGTCACATCCACAGAGGGAAGTGGAAGCAATAACATCACAGAGGTATTGGATAATAGTATCGTTCCCACAAAACCTACAAATAGTTTCAGTAAATTATGTAGTAATTCAACAAAAGCCACAAATGTGATGGAAAAGTCAATAAATGCAGTGAGTGGTACTATTCCAGTGAGAAGCGATTCAACTTCCATTGCATCTAATGAAACGTCTCTTAACAAAGGGAATAATTTTAAAATTTCAGAGTCAGGAATAAATACATTCAATAG